GGGTGAGCGGAGGGGGAGGGATGAGCGGAGGAGGAGGGGTGAGCGGAGGGGGAGGGATGAGCGGAGGAGGAGGGATGAGCGGAGGAGGAGGGGGAGAGGGCGGGGCCCCCTGTGTGCATGGGGTGAGGGCAGGGATCAGGGAGCGCTCTGAGGGGCCTCTGGACCTGCACCGTGAGGACCGGTGGTCCTGCTGGGAAGAGGGGCAGGGACTTGCGCACAGAACCCCGGTGAAGGCCCGGTCCCCGGCCTCCCTCCTGGACACTCTGCCTTCCCGCCCACGCCGAAGCAGCCGGCGTTTTTGCTCTTGGTCTTGGCACCGGCACTTGTGCTCGGGTCCTCCTGGGCTTCGCCTTGGCCTCTGGGACCTGGGAGTCTTGGTGGGTGTGGACTTTCCAAGGTCGGGGGGACTGACAAGGGCAGGTCCAGGGGGCAGGTTATGGGAGGGCCGTGCCCCCCCCCCCGGGCCTGCTGGGCGGATACACAGGCCGTCACCCCTGCGCACGATGCCACGTTCCCACAGGGAAGGGGGACCACGCTCACAGCTCCACGAACCTGCACCCAGGAGCCCACGGAGGAGCCACTGGATGGGGCTGGCAGTCACAGTGAGGGGCATTTCCTTACACGTTTGTCTTCCACACGTGTCTGAACAGAAAAATGAGAAAATCCCCGTGTGGCATTCAAAGCGTTTTCTCTCTCCTAAGAATGCACTTGGACTTGATACAATAAATCCTCCTTAGACGTTAAAATAATAATAATAATAAAAAAAGGCTTAGGACTCCTGCATGGCTCCGTTTCCCATGGGACCTTCTGGAAAAGCAGAGCAGGGAGCCGTGGGACGGAGCAGGGAGCCGTGGGGACGGAGCAGGGAGCTGTGGGGACGGAGCAGGGAGCTGTGGGGACGGAGCCGTGGGGACGGAGCCGTGGGGACGGGCCAGGGACCAGGGACAGGAGGGCTTTGGGGAGGGATCCTGAGGGTGGTGGTGGCTACATCAGCGCTAGCAAAAGAGAAAAGAGAGAATTCCATATGTAAATCAGGAGGAAGAGGAAAACAAAGATGAATTCACTGTCCTCTGAGAGAGCCTGGCAGAGGTCACAGAGGGAGACCAGGCCAGGGAGGAGCAGAGCTGGCTCTGGGCTGTGGGAACCGGATTCTTGGGCATCTGCCCGGCCCTGCCTCCGGGCCTGGCTGCCTCCCGCCGCCTTGGTCTCCCCGGGCATTCGGGGGCTGCACATGCGCGGGGTGGGGTGAGTGGGAGACAAGGAAAGTTTGTGGGGCCCAGAAATAAAGGAGCGACTGCCCATCCACCCTGGCTGCCACGGCAACCGTGTCATCACCCTCGAACCAGGTGGCTGGCACGGTGGGGGCTTGGGTGGTGTTGGTTAAAGGGCCGGACGGAGAGAGGACAGCCAGGCCCGGCCTGGTAACGGTGTAAGACCTGGGTTCGAGTTCCGTCAAGGGCACATGCCTGGGGTGCAGGCTCAGTCCCCAGTGTGGGGCATTCAGGAGGCAGCCGATCAGTGATTCTCTCTCATCATTGATGTTTCTCTCTCCCTCCCTCTCCCTCCCTCTCTGGCATCAATAAAAATATATTAAAAACACAACAGCAGAACTCCACTCCCGGCTCCGAGGGCAGAGAGCAGGGTGTGGGCAGCCGGTTCCCTGGGTGTGGGGGGTCCGCAGGGCTGCTCCCCAGCCTCTGGCGGGCCGACCACCAGCTTGTGGGTGAATCATGCCAATCTCTGCCCCGCGCCACGTGGCCCCCGGCTCCGTCTCCCTCTTCTATGAGCAGGACCCGCCCTGCGGTGACCTTATACCCGTAGCAGCCCTGAGTCCACGTCGGGCCCCACTCCGGCTCTGGGGGTTCAGACTGGGACGCGGAGTTCTGGGGGACGCCGCCCGCTGTGTGGCACTGGTCTTGTGGTCCATACGTACCACTGATAAGCCAGCGGTGGCCACGGGCGCCCTCCAGGGCCACCGCGAAGATGGGCCGATGGGCTGGCGGCCTGGCTTCCTGGAGGCTGTGCTTCTGCGGGCTCCCCACTCCCGGGGGGTCCCCACCTTCTCTGTGACCATGAGCCCAGTGTTTAACCCGCCCCTGCATGGTGCTCGGACGGGGGAGGAGCGCTGTCTGTCCTCCCTCTGGCTCCGAGCCACCCACCTCCGCCCGCACGTGGCAGGTGCTCAGCTATCGCTCCCTGGGCCCGTTCGGGAAGCCCTCCTCACGCAGTCAGCGGGAGAACAGGACGCCGCGGACAGCATGAGTGCTCCGTGCACTGTGCTGGCCCGGCCCAGCACACAGAAGGCGCTGGATAAACACTCCGTGCACTGTGCTGGCCCGGCCCAGCACACAGAAGGCGCTGGATAAACACTCCGTGCACTGTGCTGGCCCGGCCCAGCACACAGAAGGCGCTGGATAAATGCTCCGTGCACTGTGCTGGCCCGGCCCAGCACACAGAAGGCGCTGGATAAGTGCTCTGTGCACTGTGCTGGCCCGGCCCAGCACACAGAAGGCGCTCGATAAACGCTCCGTGCACTGCCCTGCATGGAGCCCTGTTTCTGAGCCCTGTACTCTCGTCCGTTTTTGTGGGTCTTTGCAGAGATGACTGGGTTGGGGGCGGGGGTGAGGCCGTGCGGGACCGCGTCCTGAGGGCCGGGGGGGGGTTTCCTGGGGGGCAGGCCCCCGGGAGGGGCTGGAGGGTGGGAACGAGCTCTGTCTCCCGGGAGGTGGTCGCCCACATAACCCTTCTTCCAGCGAGCCCGTGGGGAGCCGTGCTGTCCGTCAGCGACAGGAAAGAAGAGCAGGACAGCACCCCGACATTCTGCCACGCTCCGGGACCCCCCGGGCCAGGCACGGAGAGTACAGACGTGTAACGAGGGCGGGGAGACCCCCCTCCCCACCGCAGGGCCGAGCCCAGCAGGTGCCTCTCCTCCAGGTTCAGGAACCGCCGGGTGCCTGTCCACAAGCGGTACCCGCCACGGAGTCTTCAGTTCCTTTAGCTGAAGCTCCTCTGACCCCCAACGCCTTTCAGAATTAACTCTCCTCTCCGGGCCCTTTAACCAGCTATGCGCAGCCCCTTTCTCCAGAACGCTGAGCCCTTGGCAAGGCTGGGACAGGGACCGGGCACACCACGCCGACGGCACAGAGAGAGGCGGCCGCCGCCTCACCGGCTCTCAGCGCCAGCTGCCCAGTGCGCCCAGCAGTTTCCCGCACGAAACGGAGTGTGTGAGAGTGTGTGTGTGTGTGTGTGTGTGTACACGTGTGTGTGTGACTATCCATGCAGACAGTGCACACGTGCACACCCACCGTGTGTGTATATGTGTATACGTGTAAGTGAACGTTTACACTGCTTCTCTCCGCCTCGAACACGGCAGGAGGACGTGGTGCCGGCCGCCCCGCAGTTGGCTTTTTCCTTCCCTCAGTGCGTCACCAGGTCGTCTGTCCACGCCACACGTGGGGGATGCCCTCTCTCTCTCTCACAGCAGCCACTGTGCTCTGGCTGCTGCGTGCGGGCGCCTTCCCGTAAACAGGCTCTGCGCGCACACACAGAGCGTTTGTTTTCCAGACACGTGGGATGGCGGTGTGCCATTCCTGCTGGCTGTCTGTCTGTCCTCTGTCTGTTTACCCGCCTGTTGGCGCCATCAGACTTGCCCGGCCTGGGCTTCTCTCCTGAAACCTCGGGGTTTAGGCTGCCAAGGGCCAGGGAGGCAGGCGGACGGAGACTTCTGGACGCCTAGAAGGCCCTGGTGAGGGTGCAGGTGTGTGGGTAGGCGGGAGGCCACGAGGGGCTGCATCCGCCAGTGGCTTCTCATTGGCCTGAGCCCCCGGGCAGCGCCTGCGGGTCCGGAGCCGGTAGCTCCACTGCCTGTTTGGGTGCGGACGCGTGTCCAGCTGATCTGTGCTCAGCTGCCGTGGCAGACAGGTCTCTGGAGCGATCCCGCTCTCCGCCTCTGTGCGGGTGGGCATCTGGCTTCCATTACTTATGCCTGCATTGACCACGGCAGCGCTCTGTGCTGCCCCTGCTGGTGGCCGAGGGCACGGCCATAACTCCTCCGGGACTTGGGGCTGAAGGTCCCTGGGCTGGCACAGCTGAAGGCCATGCAGCAGGGCTACGGGGTGAGGTCTGTGAGCTGCTCAGGAGAAGGAATCAGCAGAGCTGGGGGTTGATGGCTGGGGGACGAGAGAGCCCGAGGCTCCATGGTGACCAGCTTCCCGGAGGCAGGCGGTGCATGTGGAAGGGCGGGCACGGGCGCGGTAGGTGAGTTTTCTGTGGTGCTCTGGTTTTCCAGCTGTCCTCTGAGAGCGTGAGGGCCCCGGACCACACCGGGTGGACGGCGGCTCCAATCAGAAAACCCCCGTTTTTGTTTGCTTTTATTTTATCCTCAACAGATTGGACTTCCATAGAAGCTTCCTGGATACAACCTTGACTTAGAGAGTGTGGTGCTAGGAGACCGGAGGCTCTGGCGTGGTAGAAAGGGCATGGAGTGAATGGTGCCACACGGCATGTCCCGGCCAGGCCCTGGCACTGCACCGGCAGGGCCACGTGTGGGCGCTCGGCAAAGCCTGGCAGATGCGCCCGGCGGCCGTCCCAGCAGGCAACCCGTTCATTGATTGATTGACTTTTTTTTTTTCTTTTTTTTAAGAAAGAGAGTGAGAGAGAAAAGGAAGAAGGAAGAGTGGGAGAGAGAAAGGGAGAGAGAGAGGGAAAGAGAAATACTGATTTGTTGTTCCACTTACCTATGCATTTATTGGTTGTTTCCTCTGTTTGTTTGTTTGTTTACTGGTTGTTTCTTGGATGTGCCCCGATGGGGGATTGAACCTGCGACCTTGGCATTTCAGGACGCCACCCTCACCAGCTGGCTAGACTCCTACCCGCCCCCACGCCCAGACATCCGTGCGGCTCATTTCCCTCTGCTGATTGCTCACGTGTGACTCTCTCTGTGTCTCTCCACACGTCTCCCATGAGAGGCCACAGCTCACCGCTGCAGCCACAGCGGGCAGATGCGGGGACGTGCTCCCGGGCTGGCCAACCCCCGGGCCCCGCAGGGCCGGCCGGGCCCTCACACTGTGCCCTCGGGTCTCCGCAGGCTGAACCTCCGGGAGCTGGGCCCCTGGGCCGCCCACATGCGCTGGCCGGTCTGGGTCATGGCCTCCGTGGGCACCGTCTATGTCTTCTTCTTCCGTGAGCGGTAAGCCTGGGGGGGCTATTGGGGGAGGGGCCTCCCTCCTGCCCCTGGAGAGAGGACACCCAGGATGCCCGGGAGCTTGAGGGCACAGCCACAGGCCCACAGCCCCCGGCGTCAGCGTGAGCGTTTTTTAAAAAGACCCGCTGCGGGCGTCCCGTGCCGCCTGCCGTCCCTCGGCCGTGCTGGCTGACCCGGAGCGGCAGCTCGGAGCCCCCGGGCCCCGTGTGCTTCCGTCAGCCCAGCGACAGGGCGGAGCCGTTCGGTGAGGGACAGACGGGGCTATGGAAGCAGACGGAGCCACAGACGCCGACCTCCAGGATGGCCTAGGGTCGGCTGGTGCCGCCGCTCCGTCCTTGGAGGGCAGGGCTCGGGCCCATGGGCCAGGGCGCCGGGTCCATGGTCGCGTTTGCCCCAGGCCCGATAATGGCGTGGGCACCGCGTCTCGGGGAGGGAAGGAGACCTCCCCGGGGTGGGGCGGGGCGGGTGCCAGCTGCGCCCAGGGCGGCCGCTCCTCCGCAGGTACAAGCTGCTGGAGCTGCTGTGCTACGTGATCATGGGCTTCTTCCCCGCCGTGGTCATCCTGTCCATGGTGAGTCCGCCTGGCGTGGGGCCTCCGCCGCCCGGGAGCACCCACACTGACCCGGACTGCCCCCTGGAGCCCGCTCCTTGGGCAGGAGGGGAAACCGAGGCTCAGGGTATCCACACGACCCCCTTGAGGAGGCGCTAGAACAGGGCCTCTCCGCTCTGAGCCTCAGCTGCCCCATCTGCTAAATTAGGGGTGTCGAACTCAATCAGAGAAGGGGCCAAAATCTAAAATCCAGCCTAAATCGCGGGCCGAATGGTTTACTGAACAGTCATAAACTGTCATTGTGATGGAAACGCAGCAGAGTGCAGTGATGACAGCGCGGTGTGGGCCACACTGCAAGGCCTGGCAGGACGGATTTGGCCCGCGGGCCTTGTGTTTGACACATGTGTGCTAAATGGACACAGTAAACTCAGCCTGCCCGTTACCTCTTACCTAGGCCACAGAGTGGTGTTACTGCTGTTATTATTAGTCATCCTCACCCAAGGTCATGCTGATTGACTTTAGAGGGAGGGGGGAGGGAGAGAGGGAGAGAGAGAGAGAGAGAGAGACATCAATGTGAGAGAAACATCGGCCGGTTGCCTCCCCTGTGCGCCCTGGCTGGAAATTGAACCTGGCTGGGAATCGAACCCACTACCTTTCAGTGCTGCAACCAACGAGCCACACTGGCCAGGCCAGAGAAGAGTATTATTTTTAAATTATTATTATTGGTAGATGTTAAATTTGTATGAAGGAAAATCTAATTAGTTTTATGGCTTTTAACGAAGGTCTCCCTCTTCTCACGTTTTTGTAAATATTTACCCATGTTTCCTTACATTTCTGTTATGGCTGACTTCTCATTTCTAACTCGTTCTCACTGCTGATCGTCTAGTAGATGGTGAGTCCCCCCAGGGGGTCAGCCATTTAGAACGCTCTCTGTTTCTCAAATTCCAATTATGTTCCAGCGATGGGCCATTTTTTTGTGTGTATTTTAAATATATATTTTAAAAAATTTTTTACTGATTTTTTACAAAGAGGAAGAGAGAGGGATAGAGAATTAGAAACATAGATGAGAAAGAAACATTGATCAGCTGCCTCCTGCACAGCTCCCACTGGGGATATACCCACAACCAAGGTACATGCCCTTGACCGGAATCGAACCTGAGACCCTTCAGTCCGCAGGCTGATGCTGTATCCACTGAGCCAAACCGGTTAGGGCTCGTTTTTTGTTTTTAATGTTTTATTGATTTGAGAAAGAGGGAGGGAGAGGGAGAGATATAGAAACAGGGAAGAGAAACATCCATCAGCTGCCTCCTGCATGCCCCCTAGTGGGTATCAGCCCGCAACCTGGGTATGTGCCCTGCGCTGGAATTGAACAGGGGAGCCTCCTGGGTCTTGGGTCGACACTCAACCACTGAGCACCCGGCCGCCTGTTTTTATACTAATACCAAGCCGTCCCCTCTTGTAGCTCTAATCGCATTTGAGTCCTTGGCAGTGAAGGCCTGTCCCATTGTTGTCACTGTGATCTGTTTTCATTTTTATAGGTTAGCTTTTCCCAAGTTTATTTTTATTTAACCAGTTAATACCTCGCGTCCAACACGGAAACCATCCCACATGCCACGATAGTTTGAATTTAATTAGAAAATCAACTTGCAATAAATATTATAAAAATAAATTGTGCCAGGCCAGCACAGCCAAGGGTTCGGTGAGCCTGAAGGGGGGCGGGGGCAGGGGGGAGGGCGGTGAAGGATGAAGAAAAGACAGACAAAGAGAATAAGCTGGGGCTCCAGGATCTCCTGTGCCTGGCTGAGACCACAGAGAGGGACTTCCAGACCGCACGCTGAGCCTTTACTTTACAGCCAGAGGCAAACAAGGCAGTGGTTACAATCTTCGGTGAGTTTCACTTGTTTTGGCGGCACTTGCTGCACCTCCCACAGCTCATTAGCGACCCAGGATCTACTGGTGGGCAAACTCATTAGTCAACAGAGCCAAACATCAACAGTATGACTGAAATTTCTTTAGAGAGCCAAATTTTTTAAATTTAAACTCCTTCTAATGCCATTTCTTTGAATTAGACTCGCCCAGGCCGTGTTATTTTGTGGAAGAGCCACACTCAAGGGGCCAAAGAGCCGCTTGTGGCTAGAGAGCCGCAGTTTGCCTACTACGGATCTAGGGCGTGCCATAAGGTCAAGCTTAATGATGCTTAAAGGGCTGTGCCCTCTAGGCTGGTGTGTGTTTGTGGCTTTGCCAACAAATCAGTCCGAGGCTTAATCCTATAGCCGTCCCTACAATAAATATATTACAATTCGGATGTTCTTGAATATTTTCGGCTGAAAATTCTCGTGAAAAATGATTTAAAAGTTGGTCAGGGCTGCCACGTGGGGAAAATATATATAAAAATATATATATATATATATATTGATTTTTTTTACAGAGAGGAAGAGAGAGGGATAGAGAGTTAGAATCATCAATCAGCTGCCTCCTGCACACCCACTACTGGGGATGTGCCCTTGACTGGAATTACCCGGGACCCTTCAGTTCACAGGTTGATGCTCTAACCCCTGAGCAGCCAGGGCACAAATGCCATTTTGTTTGGCCAACAGCGGGGCTGCTCCGCGGTGGGCGGGGGGACGATGCTCGGGGAGCCCGGAGGTGGCGGTGGGCTCACTCCTGCCCCCTCGGCCGCTGGGCGGGGCCGGGGGTGACGGGAGGCAGGGTAAAGGCTGAGACATCCCTGGAGGTTTCAGTAGAAACGCGTCACACGGGAGAACTGACTCGGGAGGAGGGGTGACAGCCCGGTGTTGAGAGGCCCCGCCCGGGACCCCGGGCGGCTTGCCAGGTCTCTTCATTTTCGGGGGGAATGGCCGGCCGCTCCTCTGACCCCCCCTCGCACCCCATCCTTGCCGACAGCCCAACGGGGAGGGCCTCTGGGAGCTGCTGACCGGAGGGGCCTTCTGCCTGGGCACCGTGTTCTTCCAGAGCGACGGCGGGTGCCCTTCGCCCCGCCATCTGGCACCTCTTTGTGGCGCTCGGCGCCCGCACCCACTGCTACGCCGTCCGGAGGTACCTCCACCTGCCCGGCGCCCTGCCGGCCGAGGTGGCCAAGCGAGGGCCCTGCCGCTGCCCTCCCACCGCCCTCCCGCCGCCCCCCGCGGGCACAGCCGCCCCCCGCGGGCACAGCCGCCCCTTGCGGGCACAGCCGCCCCCCGCGGGCACAGCCGCCCCTTGCGGGCACAGCCGCCCCCCGCGGGCACAGCCGCCCCTTGCGGGCACAGCCGCCCCCCGCGGGCACAGCCGCCCCCGCGGGCACAGCCGCCCTCCGGGACGGTGAGGCCCGAGGCCACTCCCAGGGCAGCCGCCCCCGCCCTCGGGCCCCCGGGGGGGAAGGAAGCGTCGGTCAGGGCTGCCTCGGAGACGGCCCCTGAGGCATCTCCTCCAGACGGGCGTCTTCTGACACCCTGGACGGTAGCGCCCCCGGGAGGGAGCGGCTGCCCTGCCGATGGCAGAGCCGGGCCAGCGCTGCCTTGGGTGAGCCGGCTGGCACTCAGTTTGCACCTCCTCGCGGTGCCTGCAGGGGGCCCTGGTGGGCACAGGACCAGGCTGTTCCATGTCCCCGTGTGGGGCTGGCTGTGCACCTCCACGCCCTGGTCCCTTTCCGGGAGCTCCGGAGCCGGCAGAGCAGCGGGTAGGACGCGGGGCCACCCAGCCGCCCTGGCCCTCGGTGTGGAGGGAGCGGCTGGGCCGTGACGGGCCATGTCGTCTCACGCCCAGAAGCCGGGGCCTGAGCCACACCCTGGCCTGCCCGCCGCGGACCAGGGCTCATGACACTAACACTCAGGGCCTCGCCAGCTGAAACCAGTGGCCCTGGGAGCCCCTCCTCCCCCCAGCACAGAGGGAGGGCACCCCGACTCTGGAGGCCCGAGCAGCCCAGCCTCAGAGCCGGGGGCAGCGCCAGTCTGCATACCTGGCACACAGGCGGGCACCGGGAGCGGCACTCAGCGGGCTCTCACCCGCCCCGCTCCCACGCACACGCTCAGTGGACAGGCCTGGCCTTGACGAGCGGCCTCTTAGACCCTCGGTTGGCAAACCGTGGCTCACGAGCCACATGCGGCTCTTTGGCCCCTTGAGTGTGGCTCTTCCACAAAAAATACCACGGCCTGGAAGAGTCTGTTTTGAAGAAGTGGCATTAGAAGAAGTTTAAGTTTAGTCCTGACCGGTGTGGCTCAGTGGATAGAGCGTCAGCCTGCGGACTGAAAGGTCCCAAGTTCGATTCCGGTCAAGGGCATGGACCTTGGTTGCCGGCACATCCCCAGTGGAGGGTGTGCGGGAGGCAACTGATTGATGTTTCTCTCTCATCGACGTTTCTAACTCTCTCCTCTCCCTTCCTTTCTGTAAAAAATTAATAAAATATATTTAAAAGAAGTTTAAGTTTAAAAAATGTGGCTCTCCAAAGAAATGTCAATCGTTGTCCTGTTGATATTTGGCTCTGTGGACCCCCCACACCGCCCCACGCCTCGCACCTTGGGCCCGTCCCTGAATGAGTTTGCCGACCACTGTCTCAGTCCATGGGTGACCGACGGGAGGCTGTCACTCAGAGCCTGGTAGCTGGTGCTGGCCGCCGCCTGGGCCTCCAGGGGGAAGCTGCCCCTCCCCAGCCCCTGGGCTCAGGAAGCTGCTGGGCCCTGGCCGGGGCTCAGGGGTAGAGCGTGTCCCCATCAGCCAAGGCGCGGGCTCCATCCGGTCGGGGCGCAGACCCCCATCTACCAGACAGTGAACGGACACGGGCAGCAGCAGTCCGGCGTCTCTCAGTCAGTCAGTAAGCACAGAGTGGGCTCCGGCCCAGCCCGGCAGGCGAGGCCCGCAGAGGAAGATGGCAGCCGTTGGAGTTCCTTTGCTTCTCACGGCTCCCCAAGAAGGGGCGTCGGCGGCCCCCGGGCCACGTGGGGAGGCACGGGGCGGGGAATTGGGGTTTCTGGGGGAAGGGGCGGGCAAGGCAGGGTGAGCAGGCTTAGGGCAGGCCGGATGATCCCAAGGGCTCGGGTACAGGGGTGTCCCTAGTTTTGTGGTTTCTGGTTCTGTGGTGACGAACAGGGGATGCCAGCGGGAGTGGGAGTGCCCGATGGGGAGGCGGGATGGCCAGGTGGAAGGTTTGCACCCAAGAGGCTCACAGTGAGCCGTTCACGTCTCCAGGAGGGGCGGCGGGCAGGGCAGTCGCCCAGCTGTCAGGCCCAGAGGACAAACATGGGAAGACCTGCTTCCCCCACACCCACTAGTGACTTCCCCACGTAACCGCGCTTCCTTACAGTGTGGCCGCTGGGCCCCAAGGGAAAGAGCGTGCCAGGTGGGACACACGGAAATCATGCATCGTCACTTATGTTGCTCAACTCAGCCCAAAGGCCCTCCCTCCTCAGGCCCCCGGGGGAGGCACACACCTCCCACCAGCCGAGGGCAGCGAGAGAGCGGGAGGGGGGGTGGAGAGGGGTGGGGTGCACGTGCTTCGGCCCCTTGGGCTCAGGTTAGGTTAGGGGTGCTCACACATTCTCCTCCTCCGGAGCCGGAAAGCAGGTCTCTGGCCGGACCACGCCCTTCCACCCCACATTCGGAAAGCGCGGCAGCTCGTCCCAGCAGCCCCTGCCCTGGGCCCCCTTTCTTCTGACATCTTCGTGAGCAAGGCGGCCGGCCTCGGCTCACCCCCTGCCCCTGCCCCTCGCCTCGCACTCTGGGCCCGTCCCTGTTTCACGGTTCAAACAGAGAGAGAGGGTGGTCAGGTTAAGAAAAAGTCACGGGCCAAAGCCGGTTTGGCTCAGTGGTAGAGAGTGTGCAAGAGGCAGCTGGTCGATGTTTCTCTCTCGTTGATGTTTCTATCTCTCTCCCTTCCTCTCTGTAAAAAATCAATAAAATATATTAAAAAATAATAATACCAAAAAAAAAAAAAAAAAAAGAATGAGTCATGGCATATTGCCTCAGCCTTCCTCATTTTCACACACACACACACACACACGTTCACGTGGTGCCGTCTCAGGATGCTCACGGGCAACGTGTCACGGGAACAACCCAGAAGCAGGCTCCGCGGGAACGTGGGCCCCGCCACGCACACGCGGTCCTGCCATTCCCAGGCCCCGTGCCCACAGGTGTGACCTTACGTTTGACCGGATCACCCGGCTGCTTTCCGCTGAGGAAGCTGACCCTAATGCTGCTGCAGGTGGAAATGCAACTTTAAAACAAGCTGCCGACGCTCCGAAAACCCGGGCCGTTAGGTGCTTGGGAGGGGCGCCTCTCCCTGCAAGCCCCAAAGCCGGCTCCGTGTTTCCGGGCCCCTGGAACGTGCACCCTGACCTCAACCCGAGGCGCCTCCTTGGGGCTCAGAGGATGGGCCTTTCCAGAAAAGAGTCCCAGGACTCCGCCGCCCCCTGGTGGCCGCAGAGGGCAGCGCAACACTTTATTTTTGTCCTGTGACTTTTCAAAGGAGACTCAACCCCAAAGCTCAAAAAACGTCTTTTGCTCACCCGCCCAAGGGCCCAGGGCCAGATACAAAAATAAGAGACAGCCCTTGCCCGGGGGGAGCTCCCCACTGAGGGGGCCGGTGAGAGGTGAGATGAAATATGTTCATTCCTTCGTTTGCTCATGGAACAAGCACTCACCCGCGGCCAAGGGCACACCTGCCCCCGGGGAGCACGCGTTCCGGTGTGTGTGGAACATACGGACGTGACACGTCCCTGAGGCGAGGTCCTGAGCTGGAGCTGACCGTGAAGACCAGGGTCAGGGCGCACGGGGCTGCCCGGTGCGGACGGCAGGACCAGGTGTAGGGAGCTGAGCGGAGAGGGGGACGTGGTTCGGGGGCGGCGAGGGGCTCCGCGTCTGAAGACATGGGCCGGGCGGGAGCCTGTGGCAGAGGAGAGAGCAGCTGGAGCGGCCCTGGTGGGGCTTTGCAGGCCCTACTTTACCCAAGTGCAGTGACGGAGGATTACAGGCGAGGAGGACACCTCATTTGTATTTAAGGAATGTAGTTCGATGTACACTGAGGGGCCAGATGATGGTGGTCTCTGAACGCATAATAATCTGGCCACTCAGCGTGTGTGTGTGTGTGTGTGTGTGTGTGTGTGTATGTGGGGTCCGGCCAGCCTGGCCAGGGGGAGGGGACATGGGTGGTTGGCCAGCCTGCCTGCTGGTCGAACTCCTGGTCTAGGGGGCAATTTGCATATTAGCCTATTATTCTATAGGACCTACACTGAGTGGCCAGATGGTTATGCGTTCAGAGATCATCACCATCCGGCCACTCTGTACATGGACGTGGTGCAGGAGAAGGTTTAAGACACGGGGTGTGGCAGTGGAGGAGGGGCGCGGAGCCTCGCCCGGCCCGGGAGGCCGTCCCAAGAGGCTGTATCAGGCACGGATCTATGGCTGCACAGCAAACCACCCCAAACGCCATGGCCTGAGCCCATCACGAACATCTCCCCTCTCACGTGGTTTCTGAGGCCGGGAGTGTGGGGCAGGGGCGCTGGGTGGTTCTGGCACAGGTCCCTCACCGGAGGCAGCCGGGAGGGGAAAGCTGCATTCGTTCCTACACCGTCTTCTGGGCCGGGACCTCACCCCAGCCGGCTAGCTCCCTCCTGTGGACGGGGACTTGGTGCTGGGTGCGGGCTGCTGGCAGGAGGCCTGCATTTCTCTCTGCGGCCGGTGGCTTCCCCCAGAATGAGCAACCCAACAGCGAGCAAGGGCAGACGCCACATCTCTCACCATTCAGATCCAGAAGTCACATGGCCGTTTTGAGAACATCCTATTATTACACAGGCCAGCCTCATTCAACAAGGCCAGGGACCCCACACGGGGCCTGACGCCGAGAGGGTGTGAGTCACGGGACCATCTCACAGGCTGGCGGCCGTATAAGGAGCCCGGGTCCGAGTCCTAAAGGCACTGGCCAGGCGGTGACGCACGTGTGGTGGGCTGAGCTGCGTGCCCCTGAGAGTCACGTGTTGAAGCTCCAGCTCCGGACACTGCAGGAGGCGACTATTTTGCGATGGGGCCTCTAGAGAGAGGACTGGGTTAGACTGAGTCGTTAGCTGGGTCCTCATTCATTATGACCGGTGTCTTTCGATAAGGTGACCAGACGTCCCGCTTTTGGCGGGACAGTCCCGATTTTAACGACTTGTCCCGCGTCCCGCGGTGTTTTTAAAAGTCCCAATTTTTGAAAAGATAAAAGCGGGAGTTTTTTAAAATGCTGCAGGACACAGGACAAATTGTTAAAAATCGGGACTGTCCCCCCAAAAGCGGGACGTCTGGTCACCTTACCTTACAATAGGGGTGTCGAACTCAATCAGAGAAGGGGCCAAA